GCCAGTACCACAAAACATTAAAAAAGAGAAGAAAAGCAACATGTAAAAATGCTATGTAGGCATCAAAATGTAAGCATCATCCTAATCAGAGACGTAACCCTGCCAGTTTGTCACCTTTTGACTTTTCATCCACAAGTCTTTGTCTTTTTTATGTCCCCACTTTGTGTCCAGCGGCCTCGGCTGACTCGGAGACACACCAGTCAGGATACCTGATCAGTGTTTTTATTTAACCAGGGCTATTACTGGGGTTTTCTCTCCATGTTTGGGCTGGCTGGTCCTGTCTGGCAGGATTGCCGAAATAATTTCTTTCTCTGGAGGTAATGGGCCTGGAAACAGATGAAGTAAATGAGCTAATGGCACCTAAAGACTGCAGGACTGAGGATGGGTGAAGCACTTGAGTCCTCTCACATAGACTGTGCTTCTTGTTCTTTGGCAGAAAAATGTGGCTTCATAGTGGATATTAGATCATTTCACTGACCTCTTCTTTACAGCCACAATCAGCTGTAGACCTATGACCAGTGACTTGTGGTCACTCAGGTAAGCAAAGCTGAGTTTCAGGGCTTGAAGAATAACATTTTCATGCAGTGCAAGTTTCCTCTTTTGCAGTGGCTGATCTGAAATGTGGCAGATGTTTCTGTCATGTGTTCATGTAGACTCATTTGGCTTTGTTATCTTTAAAAACTAGTAAATGGGAGTCTTTTATTTTTATTTCTACATGAGTGTATAGTCTGGCCATTTTTGTCTGTTTCAGAGACAAAGAAGGAGAGAGTCGGTACCTGACCCCCCATAATTGGTCTTAAATTGTAGTTTTATTGCTCCGTTTTCAGACTGGGTATGCTTTGCGTTTAGCTTTGATGGAACTTCATAGTTATGCAGTGAAATAATGTTGGGGTAATAATAATAAAGGTTAATAATGGAGGGAAAATTGAGAATGAAAGCAAAGCGAAAAGTACGTGTGTGTTATGGTCAATGCAGGTGTAAAGCGAAGACTGAGAATAATCATAGAACACACATTTAAAATAAACTATGACTGACCATTTATTTTCAATCCTACATAACATATATTTTACTCATGTTCATAAATCAGACATTAATACCCCAAATTCTCTGCATCTGCAGTGCAGTGCTCATATATGCAGACTACCTTTTGCTCATCTGCAACCTCAACTATCAGCTTTTTGCTTTAGATCTCTTTGCAAGGAAAGTAAAATTATTCCCTCAGTCAGATGGATCCATCCATCCATCTGGGTTAGTGGTATGGAGAAGATGAAACTTTCCTAAGCCAGCTAAACGACATAGTCTCTCCAGTATATCCTGGGTCTACCCCTGGGCCTCCTTCTGGTCAGACGTGCTTGGAACACCTCAGCTGGCTCCTTTTGAAGTGTAAGAAAGAAAACTTTGGAGGAAGCTAATTACTGCCACTCATAACCGGAGCTCATGGCCAAAGGTAAGGGTAAAAACGTTGATCAGCCAGGCAAATGACAGCTTTGGTTTTAAACTCAATGATGAGCATCCTCATCACTGCTGGTTCTGCACCAATCCATCTGACAATCTCCTGCTCCAGTCTCACCTCACTTGTGATCAAGGCCCTGAGATAAATAAACTCCTCCACTTGTCTTTGACCCAGAGTGGGCACCACCCTTTTCCAGCTTACAACTATGGCCTCAGAGTATGAGGTGCAAATTTTACTTCCTGTCCCCTAACACTCCACCACCACCATCCCAGTGCAAGCTGGAGACCACCACCTGATCAAGTCAATAGACCCACATCCTCCACAAAAAGCAGCGATAGAATCCTAAGACTACCAAAGTGGACGGCTTCCTATACCTGGCTACACCTCCAAATTCAATCCATAAATTGTTTTTAACAGAATTAAGGCAACCCACTGTGAATGGATCTGACTTACTGCTGGCAATACAGACCAAGTTCTCACTGTGGATGTACAGGCCTCAAGCGGCTTGTAAGAACAGGGCAGATACCCTATATTTCCAAAGCACAGTGCTGTTAACTGCCTGCGACTAACTATAAAATTAAAAGCAGCACAAGTTCCTAAAAGTCTCTAAAATAGATGTAGTCAGAGGTATCAGTGTTTTAGACACACATTTTTTTCACAATGAGGGAAATGAGAGCTAATTATTAATTCTGAGTACAACTTTCCGCTACAGTCAACACAGTCTTCGGGGTGACATAAGCTCACATCTGCATATGTAAACACAGGGAGAAACATTAGTTCAACAAGTTCAGTAACACTCAGAGTTACTCCTCGGGGTCTGCATGTTGTCCCAGTGGTTTTTTGGGCTCCTGGCCAAAATCTAAAGCCAAGTCTAGTTTCATTCAGCGTAAAACTGTTAATTCGATCTCATTAGTCCTGTGGTGGATGGGGCAGCACCTAATATCCAGTATGGCTGTACTGACACTGAGCCACGATTTGTAAGAGAAGGACAGAGGAGCACATTTGAAAATTACAGTTTTCTCTCACATCCGTAAAGTTAAACAAGTCTTGCACAGAAACAGAGCAATGAACAAAGGAAAACCGCGACACCCATAACAGTATTTCATGTTACAGCACAATGTTGGAAACACTAGCAAACCAAAATATAACTCTGCTTTCAGAACGTGTTTCCAAATTTAAGACCTTCTCTTGCTGTTGCAGAGCTCTCCACAGAGTCTCTTATCATAAACGATTAAAAAGGCACGGCTGTATTTCATCCATAAACATGCACAGACGGTAATGGATAAAAAGTTTTATGCTCTTAGACCAGATCTTTACTTTAGAAGCCAATTGCTCTAATAGATTGTGTAATAGTCTGCCTTTAGTTGTGTGATGCACGTGTGGGATAAGGAAACAGTAATGGGCTTGTAAGAGTATGGTAAATGGACCGGTACTGACATAATGCTTTTATACTCTATTTGAGCACTCAAAGTGCTTTCTTACTACAAGCCCATTCATA